AAGAGCTGCAGGACCTGGGGCCTGTGTAGAACCTGCAGAGAAGGGAGACTCAGGAAGGAGGAGGCGGGGCCATGAGCCAGGTGAGGGTCAGACCTGGAGCCAGCCCAACCCTGGAGACCTGAGAGAGGTCACAGAGGAGAGGCCTGGTCACTATTGGGAATCCCGCACTATCAAGGGGGAAGAGGGAGTACAGTCCTGAAGAGCAGTCTCCTGGAGGGGAGAAGGGGAAGGGGGACAGGGCGGGGCGCACTGGTGTCCTGGGCTCCAGCATGAGCCTCGGGGCCTCCGGGAGCTCCCTGCTGGGGCCCTGGGGTCCCCTCTCCCTGGGGGGCTCCCTTATGTTTACTCCTGTGGTCCCTGTGGGGCCCTGCGCTGGCTGAGCCCAGCTTCCACCAGAATCGCCACCAGGATCAGCAACACCACGCCCGCCAGGCCCAAGCGGATGCTGTTCTCCACCCTGTAATCCCGGGAGGCGGGGCCTGGAAGCAGAGGGCAGGGGTCACTGACAGGTGGACACGAGCCGGCCACATCGTGACCTCTGAGGCAGGAGCCCCGTGCCCACGTGAGCCCGAGGAGGGGACACCCCAGACTGAGGCCCCCCCTCCCTAGCCCAGAATCTGGATGGGGGAGCGGAGGGCTCCAGGGGCTCCTGTGAAGGTGGTGGGGTAAGTAAGCACTGAGCCCAACTTCCTTTCTGTCTGACACACTCATCTGGTCCTTCCGCTCCCACAGCGCCCTCACCTGGCCTCTTTCTCTGCACCTCTCAGTAGAGAGGACCCACCAACACGCCCTAGAAAGGGCACTGGGAGTCAGAGGAAACCAGGTGACACCCTCTCTGTTTCCACTTGTCTGCAGGGCTGGTCACCCCTCAAAACGTCCCGCCACCCTCCATACATTAGCACAGGGCAGCTGGTCCTGGTCCATGGACACACAGCGTGGGAGCGCCCTGACCTGGCCACAGGGTCACAGGGCCTGGACTCTGAGCTCACCTCACCCGGCCACTGTGCCACCCACAGTCCCCCGGGGCACGGAGGGTCACAGGGTCAGGATGAACTAGTGGACACCTCAGGCCTGGTGGATGGGGGCCACCACAGGGCATGTGCTCCCACCCATGGATGTCTGAGTCACAGCAGGATGTAGAGAGAGGAGAGAGAAGACACTCAGATTTAAAGGAAGAATTTTCCCTCCCTCCCTTCCTCTCCATGTCCTTGCTGGACTCTGACTCCAGTTCATCTCAGGGTCTGACCAAACCCGGCCAGGGGCAGCCTCATCTCCCTCCCTCATTTCCTCCCTCGCTCCCTCCCTTTCTCTCCATGTCCTTGCTGGACCCTGACTCCAGTTCATCTTAGGGTCTGACCACACCAGGCCAGGGGCAGCCTCACCCAGCCCAGCAGGACAGCTCTGTGTCCCCTTGATCCAGGGCTCAGGGTCCAGGCCTTCGTGGTGTCCACATGGGACCAGACTCCAGGGCTCTGAGCCAGGGGTGAAGGCCGAGGGCCATGTGTGCAGAGGGAGGAGAGCCCCATGGCTGGGGGTGAGCAGGAGGACAGGGAGCCCAAGGTCAGACACTGGCTGGGACCAACCTGAGGGCGGAGTGGAGACGTCCTCCTCTGTCACCTTCAGCTCTAGGGGCTCACTGTACTCAGACCAGAAATATACTTGTTCATAGAGGCAGCGGTAATTCCCGGCAGTGTCTTCACTCACCGCGAGGATGTGGAATCTGGCCTCTGTTGCCTGTGAACCATCTTGAGACACACTTTTCTGATCATGATATGCATCTCTTCCATCCTTCTCCAAGATGAAGTACTCAGCCCAAGCTGGGCCCCGGCACACGAAGGTCACAGGCCGTCCCCGGGAGATCACAAGGCCTGGCTCGGCCCTGAGAGAGGGTTTGGGCAGGGCCCCTGGGAGGAAGCAGAGCAGGATCTCAGGCTCCATCATGAGGAAATCTCCAACCTCACACCTTCCTTGTAAGAGTACAGCTCAGTGGTGCTTAGCAAACTCACAGAGCTGTGCAACCCTCACCACAGCCCAAATCTACACCATGTGCACCATCCCTTTCCCAAGAGATCACCCATCTACCCCCTCTAGGGACTGAGATCTCATCTCTCCAATGACTTCTCCACGTGACACAAGTTCTGGTGACATCGTGGGCTTTCTCAGGAGGACATGGGAGGTGTCAGAGCATCTGGGTCCCCCGGCATGTCTCCTCCCCACAGCCACTCTTTAGGGGGGCAGACCGGGCTTAGAGGGAGGCAGAGGGTGAGGATGAGCTTGTCACTCGTGGGGACAGGGACGCTGGAGTTTGAGATGGTGGCCTGGCCGGAACTGCAGGTGGTTGGGGGACTGTGGGGTCTAATAAGGCTTCAGTGCCCCATGGGAAGTCTAGTGGGGGTGGGGGTGGACACCAGCCTAGACCTGCACACAGGACCCCAGAATCCTGGGCACGTCCTCTGAGCAGCACTCACTCAGCTTCCCTCTGCATTTCCCACCTTCCTCTCAGTCCATTCCCACCTCCTTGTTATTGAGGCTCCTAAAACCCCAAGTGTCTAAACTGGGCTGGGCAGGGAGAGAGAGGGCTCTAGCCCTGAAACAGGAAGAAGGCATCCAAGTTACTCAATCCCCATAGAGGCAGAGGTGGCCGAGCCCCAGCACTCATTCCCTCCTTCCTTCAGCCACAGCTCAGCTCCCATCTCTCCCTTTACAGACGCCTCCTTGTGCCACTGGCTCCACAAATAGGAGAAACACAGGAGGGTCCCTGCCTTCTTGGGGGAAGGGTAGAGGGAGCACAGGGTGAGGGGGGGGGGAGTGTGCAAACCAAAGCCACGCGCTATGATACTCGCCCAGGCTGGGAGAGGACTCTAAGGAAAATCAATATTTTGCCTGAACATGAAACTTCTGTGAAAAACTAAATAAAAAAGGCAAACTCACCCTCCTGCATGTGGATCACTTGGCCCAGGCAGAGCCCTGCAAGGGAAGCCCCAGTGAGACAAGCGCCCTCCTGCTCTCGCATTCATCTTAAATGGGGTCAAGGACTGCATCTCCCACCACCTCCAACCCCCCTGGTCAGCATGGCTCCCATGCAGTAGCTCCCTCCCCTACAGCAGGTTTCAGACAAGTTCCCAGGAGGCCTCCCCACCAGAGTACCCCTCTGGTCGTGTTTGTGTCTGACCTGTCCCCCTCCCAGTGTCTAGAACAGCCTGGGACCCTCCACTGAAGCTGGGGCCCAGGTGACACAAAGAAAGCAGGGCCAGCAGGCTGAGTGGGCTCCCAGGGACTGGGCAGAGGTGGTGCCTGGGTGCCCTGACAATTCTGCCCCTCTCCCCTGTGGCACTACCCCCTGCATTCTGACTCACCCAGGCCCAGGAGGGTGGTGGGATGGGAGTACATACTGGCAGCCTCTCAACTGCTTCTCTGCCCTTGTGCCCGGTGAGGCAAGCCCAGGCCCGGTCGTTCAGGAAGTGTGCAGGGGCCAGGTCAGGGGCTCATTTCTGTGGTCTCTCAGGAAGGGAGTGTGACTGTACCCAGACCCTTGTTCCCCTATTTGGAGAACCTGAAAGGCTGTGGTTTCCGGGAGGCATTGCTAGTGAGATGTTTCCTAATCAGGGAGAGGCAATGCCCAGATGAAAGCCACATAGAAATAATTCATCATTGACAGACACAGAAGACAGAAGGATGAATGGATGACATATAGATACTCAGAAATATAGAAATACAGTAACACAGATACACAAACAGATATTGTCATAGGTAGATACATAGATGCATAGATGGATATCAAGATAGTCACATAGACACTTAGAGACATAGATACATACACAGATACTAACATACATAGATATATAGACACTTAGACACATAGAGTTGAATTGATACTTAGTTACATAGATAGATGGATACATAGTTACACAGATAGATAGATGCATAGACAATTAGATTGATACGTAGTTACGTAGATAGTTAAATAGATACAATGATAGATAATGAGCTACATAGAAAGGTAGACAGATTATACATGCAGGGAAACTTAACGGCTTGTCATCTGGCCCTCACAGGCAGACTGTCCCAAACACACATGTCCTTATGCAAATGCTTCAGTTTCTCACCTGAAAACATGAAACCATAAAACACTTCTCACACCTCCAGGTTATTCCTGGGAGAGCACAGAGCTGAGGGGGACACTGAAAGGATTCAGCCTTCCCCCTCATGCTCTGCAGGGCAGGAGGCAACCAGCTCAGGCTTGATATCCATGTCTCTGGGGCCCTCTGGGCCCTGTTGTGCCTCATCAGCATGGTTAAGGGTGAAGGATTGAAGAAAACACAGACAAGAGAATACAGCTGGGGCTCGGTTGATCTCCCTTGCCTGGATGAGGATGCAAAAGACCCAGCATGCAAGCTGATACTTTCTTTTATAGTAAGATTAAAACAACGGTAGATTAACATGTATACAAATGTTCTTGTTTTGGCAACACTTGCTGCAACTCCCACAGCCCATTAGCTACTTAGGAAGGAATTAGAGAGGGCTACAAGGTCAGGCTTAATTATGCTAAGAGAGCTCTGCCCTACAAGCTGGGACTTGTTTGTGGCCCTACCACAGGTCAGCGCAAAGCTTGACCTTAGAGCCGCTTCCTACATCTCCCCCTTTTTTGTTTTTAAACTACTACAATAAACGTAAACTTGAACATAACTCTGGCTATTAAAACAATAACAAAACAATGCCAATGCAACACAGCAATAAGAGAGAAATCAAACTACAGACAACCGGTTTCGGCAACTCTGGCTATTAAAACAATAACAAAACAATGCCAATGCAACACAGCAATAAGAGAGAAATCAAACTACAGACATATTAACATTTTCAGCTACAAAATGAAAGTTATCTACTCAGAATCCTCAGATTTGGCCATGCATGAATTTACAGAAAACTGGCAGCTCACCAAAGCTCGTCAGCACCTTGGTCCCTTGCATAGCTTTCATTTCCGTCTCTCACATTGCTATCATCGGGTCAACGACCAGTCTTTTCACCAAAGGGACAAGGAGCCTCTCTGGGTCTCCTGTACCTCCTCCAGCTGCCAGTGCAGCTTCTCCATCTCCTTGATGAGGAGGCCCCACAGCTGATGCAGGTTGGCGAGCCTCTGGGGGATGGTCTCCCATTCAGGCTTCTGCTGTCAGTGACGATGCTCTGGCTCCACTCAAAGATGCTGATGCCGTCGATATGAAGATGCTGTCTATGCGAGGCTGGTGCTTTTGGATTTCCATCTGGAGGGTCAGATTTTTCTTTATACTCCTAAGATTTGGAAGGTCTTATCTTCCCATGTTTTACACCAAGCTGCTACTAAAATTGGCTCCTTTCCTTAATTTTTGCTTTCTGCACGTGCTTCACTGGATCATCCTTTCACCTTGCAATTGTAGTTCCACCATACACAGGCCCCACGTTGGGCACCACATGTGCCACGCCAGTATGGACAAGGGTGAACCTGAAGAGGGGCGGTGAAGGATTGAAGAAAAGACAGACAAGAGAATACAGCTGGGGCTATGTGGATCTCCCCTGCCTGGATGAGGACACAAAAGACCCAGCCTGCAGGCCGATGCTTTATTTTATAGTCTGATTAAAAGAAGGGTAGATTAACATGTATACAAATGTTCTTGTTTTGGCAACACTTGATGCACCTTCCACAGCCCATTAATTACTCAGGAAAGAATTAAGGAGGGCTACAAGGTCAGGCTTAATTATGCTAGGAGAACTCTGTCCTCCAAGCTGGGACTTGTTTGTGGCCCTGCCACAGGGCAGTTTAAAGCTTAACCATAGAACCGCTCCCTACATCAAGCATCATAACCCACGTGGATTCTCTTGTCCTTGAACAACAGCAGGGCTGACTGTGAATCTTGGGCTCCTGTGTGAGCCTCTGGGCCCTCGGGGCCCTGCAGCCCCCTATCTCTGGGGAGCTCCTTTGTCTTTACTCCTGTGGTCCCTGTGGGGACCTGCGCTGGCTGAGCCCAGCTTCCACCAGAATCACCACCAGGATCAGCAAGACCACGCCTGCCAGGCCCAAGCGGATGCTGTTCTCCACCTTGTAATCCCGGGAGGCGGGGCCTGGAAGCAGAGGGCAGGAGTCACTGACAAGTGGCCAGATCATGACCTATGAGGCAAGAGCCAACTAACCAGGTTAGCCCGAGGAGGGACAACCCACGCTGAGGTGTGGGGGACACCCGGGTGCGGGTGCGGAGGTCTCCAGGGGCTCCTTCGAAGGGGGTGAAGGCAGCACTGAGCCCAAGTTCCACTCTTCTGTGCTACTCATCTGGGCTTTCATCGCCAACAGCGCCCACACCTGGCCTCTTTCTCTGCACCTCCCAGTAGAGAGGATGTCCCCCACATGCCCCAAAATGGGCTCAGGGAGATGAGGATACTGGGGTGGCACCCTCTCTGCTTCCACTTGTCTGAGGTGCTTGCCACCCATCAGAATGTCCCACCACCCTCCCTACATTAGCACAGAGCAGCTGGTCCTGGTCCATGGACCCACAGGTTGGGTGACCCCTGACCTGGCCACAGGGTCACAGGGACTGAACTCTGAGCTCACCTCACTCAGCCACTGTCCCACCCACCGTCCCCCAGGGCAGGGAGGGTCACAGGGTCAGGATCAACTGGATGGGCACCCCCAGGTCTGGTGGGTGGGGGCCACCCCTGGGCATGTGCTCTCAGCCATGGGATATCTGAGTCACAGCAGGATGAAGAGAGGAGAGAGGAGACACTGATTTAAAGGAAGAATTTTCCCTCCTTTCTTTCCTCTCCATGTCCTTGCTGGACCCTCATTTCACCTCAGGGTCTGACCACACCTGGGCAGGGGCAGCCTCATCCAAAAATGCCAAAGCACATCTCAGCCCTGGTCAGAGACCACATGCACCATGGAAATTCCCCAAGGAGGGTGGAACCCAGGGGACACATTGCTTGGGCCCCAAGAGCCTCGCCAGTAGAAAGGGCAGAGCACCAACATCGTGAGGGGAAGGACTCAGGGCCCCTTGAAGAGGTCTGTTACCACCTGGTGGCTGGAAGCCCTGGCCCCAACCAGCCCAGCAGGACAGCTCTGTGTCCCTTCTGATGCAGGGTTCAGGATCCAGGCCACCTTGGTGTACAGACCAGACCTCAGGGCCCATGCCAGGGTTGACAACCAAGGGTCATGTGTATAGAGGGAGGGGAGCTACATGGCTGGGGGTGAGCAGGAGAGCAGGGTGCCCAAGGAAAGAGACCGGGCTGGGACAGGGTACAGGGCCCTGGGACCCACCTGAGGGCGGAGTGGAGCCATCCTCCTCTGTCACCTGCAGCTGCAGGGGCTCACTGAGCTCAGACGAGCTGGACTGGGTAAGACAGAAGCAGCGATAACGCCCAGCAGTTTCTTCACTCACCACGGGGATGATGAATCTGGTCTCTGTCCCCTGTGAGCCATCTTGAGGCACACTGTCCTCATAATGGTGTATACGTCTTCCATCCTTCACCAGGTGGCATACCTTAGCCTCAGCTGAGCCCTGGCACACGAGGGCCACAGGCCGTCCCCGGGAGATCACAGGGCCTGGCTCGGCCCTGAGGGAGGGTTTGGGCAGGGGCCCTGGGAGGAAGCAGAGCAGGATCTCAGGCTCCATCATGAGGAAATTGCCACACCTCACACCTCACACCTCCCTGGTTTTAAGTGTGTATGTCAATGATTCTTACCAAACTTGCAGAGTTGTGCTACCACAACCACAGCCCAAATCTAGACCATTTGCACCATCCCTTCGTCAAGAGACCATCCCTCTGCCCCCTTGAGGGGATTGAGTACTCATCCCTCCACTGACTTCCCCACGTGACACAAGTTCTGGTGACATCATGGACTTTTTCAGGGGAACATGGGAGGAGTCAGAGCAGCCTGGGGCCCTGGGCAGGTCCCCCTCCTCATGGCCACTCTCTAAGGGGACAGACAGGGCTGGGAGGGAAGCAGAAGGAGAGGTGATTCATGGGGACAGGGATGCTAGAGTGGGAGATGGTGGGTATGACCTGGCTGGGTCTGAAGGCAGCAGAGGGAGATTGTGGAGACCAATGGGGGCTGCAGGGCTCCATGGGAAGTCTAATGGGTTTGGGGGTACAGTTCCAGCCCAGACTTGTGCACAGAACCCGAGTAGCTGAGAACCCCTAACTCCAGGGCACGTCCTCTGAGCAGCACTCACTCAGGTTCCCTCTGCATTTCCCACCTTTCTCTCAACCCATTTCCTCTTCCTGGTGATTGAGGCTCCTGAAACCCCAAGTGTCTAAAGTGGGCTGGGGAGGGGAGGAGAGGGCTCTAGCCCCGAAGCAGGAAGAAGGCATCCAAGTTACCCAATTCCCACAGAGGCAGGAGCTGGCTGAGCCCCAGCACTCATTCCCTCATTCCTTCAACCACAGCTTAGCTTCCATTGCTTCCTTTACAGATGCCTCCTTGTGCCACTGGCTCCACAGTCTCCTAAGACAGTGAGGATCACAGGGTCAGGATCAACTGGTGGACACCCCCAGGCCTCAATATTGGGGGCCAACTCAGGGCTTGTGCTCCTCCTACTCAGGGCTTATACTCCACTATTGAGATGGCTTAGTCATAGAGAGATCAAGAGGAAAGAGGAGACCATCGGTGTTGAAGGAAGAATTTTCCGTCTCTCCCTCCCTCCCTCTCGATGTCCTTGCTGGACCCTCAGTGCATCTCAGGGTCTGACCACACCTGGCCAGGGGCAGCCTCATCCAAAAATGCCCCAAAGAACGACCCAGCCCTGGTCAGGGACCCATGGAGCACGGGACTTGCCCGTGAAGGGTGGACCCCAGGGGAAACATTGCCTGGGCTCCACAGGGCCTGGCCAGGGGAAAGGGCAGGGCATCACAATACTGAGGGGAAGGACTCAGGCCCCTTGAAGGTGTCTGTCCCCACCTGGTGGCTGGAAGCTCAGGCCCCACCCAGCCCAGCAGGACAGCTCTGTGTCCCCTCTGATGCTGGGATCAGGATCCAGGCGACCTTGGTGTTCAGATGGGACCAGCCTCCAGGGCCCTGAGCCAGAGGTGAAGGCTGAGGGTCATGTGTGCAGAGGGAGGGGAGCCCCAGGGATGGGGGTGAGCAGGAGGGCAGGGAGCCCAAGGACAGAGAAGCAGCTGGAACAGGGTGCAGGGCCTTGGGACCAACCTGAGGACAGAGTGGAGTCCTCCTCTGTCACCTGCAGCTGCAGGGGCTCACTGCGCTCAGACAAGCCGAACTGGGTGAGACAGAAGCAGCGGTAACTCCCCGCAGTGTCTTCACTCACCACAGGGAAGAAGAATCTGGCCTCTGTCCCCTGTGAGCCATCTAGTGGCACACTGTCCTGATAATGGTGTACACGTCTTCCATCCTTCTCCAGGAGACATACCTTAGCCTCAGCTGGGCCCCGGCACACAAAGGTCACAGGCCGTTTCCAGGGGACTACAGGGCCTGGATCAGCCCTGAGGGAGGGCTTGGGCAGGACCCCTGGGAGGAAGCAGAGCAGGATCTCAGGCTCCATCATGAGGAAATCTCCACACCTTACACCTCCCGTGCCTTGTGCGTGCAGCTCTATGGTTCTTAGCAAATTTGCAGATCTGTGCAACCCTCACCACAGCCCAATTCTACACCATTCACACCATCCCTTCTCCAACAGACCACCCCTTCCCCTCCAGGAAACTGAATTCTCATCACTCCAATGACTTCTTCATGTGACACAAGTTCTGGTGACATCGTGGGCTTTTCTCAGGGGACACAGGAGGTGTCAGAGCAGCCTGGGGCCCTGGGCATGTCTCCCTCCCCACAGTCACTCTCTAGGGGGACAGACGGGGCTGGGTGTGAGGCAGAGGGTGAGGATGAGCAGGTCACTCGGGGGACAGGGACGCTGGTGTGGAGAGGATGGAAATGACCTGGCCGGGTCTGAAAGCAGCTGGGGAAGGTTGTGGGGACCAATGGGGGCTGCAGGGCCCCATGGGAAGTCTAATTTGTTTTGGGGTGGACACCAGCCCAGACCTGCTCACAGGACCCCAGTGGGTGAGGACCCCCGACTCCTGAGCTTGTCCTCTGTGCAGCACTCACTCAGGTTCCCTCTGCATTTACCACCTTCCTCTCAGCCCATTTCCACTTCCTTGTGACTGAGGCTCCTGAAACCCCAAGTGTCTAAACTGGGCTGGGCAGGGGAAGAGAGGGCTCTAGCCCTTAAACAGGAAGAAGGCATCCAAGTTACTCAATCCCTGATGGAGACAGAGCTGACCGAGCCCCAGCACTCATTCCCTCCTTCCTTCAGCCACAGCTCAGCTCCCATCTCTCCCTTTACAGACGCCTCCTTGTGCCACTGGCTCCACAAATAGGAGAAACACAGGAGGGTCCCTGCCTTCTTGGGGGAAGGGTAGAGTAAGCACAGGGCTGAGGAGGGAGTGTGCAAACCACATCCACACGCTCTGATACTCTTCCGGTGTTGACTGTGGGAGGCTCAGGGCGAGGGGGGCAGACCTGACCTCTCATCAGAGGCAGAGTGGGGAGGCCCTGAGCTGAGATCAAAGGGTCAGGTGGGAATGAGCCCAGCCCAGCACAGGAGCCCTCAGCCTGGGAGGAGGCCGTGGTATATCAGGAAAATAGTGTTTGTAAAAGTGAAAGACAGGATGGATTTCTGAATATAACTTAGCCAGAGGGCCTCAGGACAGAGAGATCCAGAAAAACAGAGAGGCTCAGGGCTCATTCCAGGTGAAGATACACAAGGAGAGGACTCTAAGGAAAATCAATATTTTGCCTGAACATGAAACTTGTGTGGAAAACTAAATAAAAAAAGGCAAACTCACCCTCCTGCATGTGGATCACCTGGCCCAGGCAGAGTCCTGCAAGGGAAGCCCCAGTGAGACAAGTGCCCTCCTGCTCTTGCGGTGACATTAAATGGAGTCAAGGACTGCATCTCCCACCACCTCCAACCCCCCTGGTCACCATGGCTTCCATGGGGTAGCTCCCTCCCCTGTAACGGGTTTCAGACAAGTTCCAAGGAGGCCTCCCCACCAGAGGACCCCCCTGGCCGTGTTTGTGTCTGACCTGTACTCCTCCCAGTGTCTAGAACAGCCTGGGACCCTCCCCTGGAGCTGGGGCCCAGGTGACACAAAGGAAGCAGGGCCTGCAGGTTGAGTGGGCTCCCAGGCACTGGGTGGAGGTGGGGCCTGGGCGCCCCCCACAGTCCCGCCCCTCTGCTCTGTGGCCCTCCCCCCTGCATTCTGACTCACCCAAGCCCAGGAGGGTGGTGGGATGGGGGTACATACTGGCAACCTCTCAACTGCTTCTCTGCCCTGGTGCCCGGTGAGGCAAGCCCAGGCCCGGTCGGTCAGGAAGTGTGCTGGGGCCAGGTCACAAGCTCATATCCGTGGTCTGTCAGGAAGGGAGTGTGGCTGCTCCCAGACTCTCGTTCCCCTATTTGGAGAACCTGAGAGGCCGTAGTTTCCGGGAGGCATTGCTAGTGAGATGTTTCCTAATCAGGGAGAGGCAGTGCCCAGATGAAAGCCACATTGAAGTAATTCATTATTGACAGACACAGAAGACAGAAGGATGGATGAATGACATATAGATGCTCAGAAATATAGAAATACAGTAACACAGACACACAAACAGATATTGTCATAGGTAGATACATAGATGCATAGATGGATATCAAGATAGTCACATAGACACTTAGAGACATAGATACATACACAGATACTAACATACATAGATATATAGACACTTAGACACATAGAGTTGAATTGATACTTAGTTACATAGATAGATGGATACATAGTTACACAGATAGATACATAGATAATTAGATTGATACATAGTTACATAGATAGTTAAATAGATACAATGATAGATAATGAGATACATAGAAAGGTAGACAGATTATACAGGCAGGGAAACTTAATGGCTTGTCATCTGGCCCTCACAGGCAGACTGTCCCCAAACACACATGTCCTTATGCAAATGCTTCAGTTTCTCACCTGCAAACATGAAACCATAAAACTCTTCTCACACCTCCAGGTTAATCCTGGGGGAGCACAGAACTGAGGGGGACACTGAAAGGACTCAGCCTGCCCCCACATGCTCTGCAGGGCAGGAGGCACCCAGCTTAGGCTTGATATCCATATCTCTGGGCCCCTCTGGGCCGTGTTGTGCCTCATCAGCATGGCTAAGGGTGAACCTGAGGAGGGACGGTGAAAGATTGAAGAAAACACAGTCAAGAGAATAAGCTGGGGCTCAGTTGATCTCCCTTGCCTGGATGAGGATGCAAAAGACCCAGCATGCAAGCTGATACTTTATTTTATAGTCAGATTAAATCAACGGTAGATTAACATGTATACAAATGTTCTTGTTTTGGCAACACTTGCTGCAACTCCCACAGCCCATTAGCTACTTAGGAAGGAATTAGAGAGGGCTACAAGGTCAGGCTTAATTATGCTAAGAGAGCTCTGCCCTACA